CCCGGACTAGGTGCGTTCCAATAAGTCTTCCTACCAATATGACCATGTTACGAAAACAAGGTCAAACAACATAATGATGAAAAATAATACAGAAAAGCAAGGCACGTGTACATAACCCAGTGCATTACAATGCCAATAAACGAATTTGATAGGTGACGGTTCCCAAGCGAAAAGAAATCGAATAAACATTAGTCAGAGATTTACATTCCCACAATGCACGGAACTCTTGTAAAAATGAAAGAGGCGCAGAACTAAGGGCATCATTTATAGTAGCAAATACAATAAAATCAGAATTAGGCACTAAAGTGTTAAGCACCCATCAGAAGCCGAAAATTAAAAATAAAGTAATCAAGTGAAACAGCGAAATACTATGACAATTTAGTATTTTACAAGTCTAATATATAAAAACTTACCGGGACCAGAGCGAGCTGTGTTCAAACTGGCAACACAGGTCCATTGGTCGATTTCAGGATCATATCGCTCCACGCTGTCAAGGCGGCGATCACCATCGTACCCACCAACAGCATAGAGAAGGCTGAATGGAGAAATATGCATTAGCAAATCCAAACACAATATCGAAAAGTAATGTGTTATATCCATTCGTATGCATCGGACCCAATCAACACTCAGTAAGACACTGATCTAAATACAGATTTTCAACGATTTAAGGCACTGATCTACGCAACCTCACTTTTAGTTAGGTTTAAGAAATGCCAAAGAGAGGAATTTGGTGGTATAAATGACCACCAAGAAACCAACATATTTACACCGTGATAAAGTCTCAATATCATAAATAGAAATAATCCCAAAATAAAAACAGAGAAAATGTTGATGAATAGCATAAAAGAAGAAAGCTGTTTGATAAAAGTGGTTTCAATGATGTCAATCAGGAGGCATAAAAAAATAAGGATTCAGCCAACAAAGAGAGAATAGCTGAAGAATAGGCGTGTAGAAAGTAGCCCAATAAAGCTTCATATAGAAAACCATCAATCGGTTGAGATTGGACTGAGCTGTCTACGCAGAACCAATGTAGAAGCAAATTCTAGGCTTATAGTTAAGTGTAAAAGGTTGCCTAGTTTAAAACAAAAATGAGCTTTAAGCAGGCGGGAACACTTTTGGTCAAATAGCTTTAACGTAAAGAGAGGATTAATCGGAGAGAAGATTCGATTTCCCCAGGATATTAGCTTGCGCTATATAGAAATGGATTTAGGTGCAGGTGGTATTCTCAAATGAAATTCACTGATCCAATTTTATTAACATGATAT